CGCCCCTCACACGTCTTGTGGCCCCACCGGGAGCTCCATCGGAAGCTCCTGTAGCAAAATTCGCATGCGTCCTCGCGCCAATGCCGGCACACTTCTCACACGTTTCGTGGCCCCACACGGAGCTCTTCCGAAGGCTCCTGTGGCGCCCGCGCCAATGTCGTCATACCCCTCGCACGCTTCGTGGCCCCACAGGGAGTTCCGCCGAAGGGTACACTCACAATTGCATATGGTTGGGTCCTTCGCCAGGCTAATTGTCTGTCTTTCATGTTGTTGCTGCTGATTGCTGCTGCTTATTTTTCGTTTCGAGATGCCAGCACTCTGGCACGTCCTACCCCGCAACCGCGGAAGCGCGAGGCAGCGCAGCCGGTATAGTAGAGGTAGAGCCTTAGCTGCCCCGATACGCAACACGCAGCACGTAGCGTGCTGACAAGGGGCTCAACACGTAGACTGACAACAAAAGTCTGGCGCGAGACGTCCGCCAACACGTGGGTCAACACGCGCCGAGCCGACACGCCGCGTGTCGCGTCTCCAAACAGGCGTTTCGGGGCAGCTAGGGGTAGAGCTTGTAGCTGTTCCTCCTCCGCCGAAGCCGCGCGCGCAGCGCCAGGTAGAGCCGCTCAACGGGGCCGAAGCAGCGGTGCAGGCACGGGCACGCGTTCTTGGCCGCGGAGTGCGGCGGCATGGGAGGGCGGGCGCCCTCGCGGGCGAAAAAAAGCCTGGGCCCGACAACGGCTCTGGACAGCTACGGTTCCTCTCTCCTCCTCCTCGTCCTCCTCGTCCTCCTCCTCCTCCTCCTCCTCCTCCTCCTCCTCCTCATCGTCCTTGTCCTCGTCCTCCTCCTGCTCCTCCTCCTGCTGCTTCTCCTCCTCCTCCTCCTCCTCCTCCTCCGCCTCCTCCTTTTCTGGCTCCTCAGCCGCCTGCGCCTCCTCCTCCTCCTCCTCCTCCTCATCCTCCTCCTCCTCTTCCTGCTCCTGCTGCTGCTGCTGCTGCTGCTCCTCCTCCTCCTCCTCC